TATAGTAATTTGAATAGTTTTTGTTTGTCATTTAAATTAATTAAATATGAGGTAGTATTTAATATATGATATAAACAAGGTGACATTTTTTTATAATATTTAATTATTGTTTTGTAATTTGAATAATTGTTTTTTGCAATATTATTCATTAAAAAAAAGTTGTTTACAGTTTTTGACTAGTTCATTATTCACATTTTGGGTTTTCCGTCTTACAGGATATTTGGGCATTGATAAAAGGGTTTTCCCAGCTGCGGGCCGGTGCAAATTTACCTGAAAACAAGGAGTGAAAGCGGTGGGAAAGGGGAAATGGGAAATGAGGGGTTGGGCGAAACAGTGGGTAGGGTGGACAAACTAAACTGAAAATCTAGTCGAAAACGGGCAAAGTTGCGAAAAACGGAAGCGGGACGGCCAAAAATGCCAATGCCGTTGGTCCAGGCGTAATGAGGGGGGCAGCCAGAGAGAGACAGGAGATGGGTGGTGGGCGGTGGGAAAGGGAAAGCTATTATGCGCCATTAGGGCATAATTAAAATGCTCCAAGCAGCGGCAGCGACAACAAATGCAGCCAAGATGCTGATAATGACAACACGCTGAAGGAAAAGTGCCCAGTGGCAATGAGAAAAGGGTCCAGGTGGACGGAAGAAAGCGTAGAAAGGCAAAAGAAAGCAGTAGGGCGGAGACAAATTCTCCAAAGCAAACAGAAATGGGCCAGTCGTAAGAGACGGAGAATATGGCCCAAAAACAGACAAAGGATATGGCCGAAAAAAACATAGGGGGTGAGATAAGGCCAAAGCTAAGAACAAAATTTACAAATATCCTATTTAAGGGCTTATTGAAAATGCAAGGTCCGTTCTATAATCCCTTACCAGTTAGTGATAACGTCGTTCTATTTGAAACTGTTTTGAAAAATATAAGAGATAAATAATATCAAACAAAAACACATCTTATCGAGGTATAAAACTCGTGACGATCAACAAAAAATTATAAAACATTCGACTAAATAAATACACTTTTTAAAGGTTTCCATTCACACAAATTTAGTTTTTTTCTAGCTGATTTCCCGCCAAAGCATATAGTTATTATGCAGGTTTCAGCTTTTTCTAGCTGATTTCCCGCCAAACCAGCTAGTTTTTGTACAAAGTTCAGTTTTTTATAGCTGATAAGCCTAGGCCCAAAAATTTTAGATTTTAAAAATCTTAAAAAAAAAGTATTTTTAAATAACTTTTGAACGAAGCTTTGGAATCAAGCAATTTGGATGTCTTTTGACGTGTAGAGCTTCTATTTAATCCATTTTTAGTATATCAGTTTCACATCACTTTCTATTGAACCAATTATTTTTGTATACTTAGATTTGTTGTTGTTATTACAAATAAATTTCTGTAAAGTATAAAACTATTTCATATATTTATTTGCTTGTATATTTATGCAAATATTAATTACTTTTTTTTTAAATTTAATAAATGTGTCCTTCCTATCATTTTGATTTTGTCCGAGTACTAATATTTTGAATGGAACTGTATGCAACGTTCTGTCCACTTCCCTTGGAATTGGCCGTAATAACTTCAAAAAGGGCTTCACAGCTTCCCTTTTGGTTTTGGACACTCTCTGCCCCTTTTGGTTTTTTCATTTTGTTCCACTTTTGCTTTTTGCACATCCCACTATCAATCTGTGCAATGAATTTTAGCAATTAGGCAATCACTTCGCACATATGCAAAGCAATTTTTGGGATTGGGCATGCGATGCAGTGAAACTTGGGCTTGGGCTTGGGCTCCAAAGACGCTGGCAAAACTCAAGTGCACTTCCCACTTCGCAAAACTCATCTCAACTCGACTCCACTCAATGAAATGTTTGTCTGTTATATGTACCGATTCGTTTCGTTTCGTTTCCTTTTTTTTTTTTTTTGCTCGGTTGGGTTAAAAGCGGGTGGAGATCCTTCTGCTTTTTCTGCTGATTGCCTTACGCTACAACAGGCAATCTATGGGAATAAAGATATGCATATGTGTATGTTTACCGTGTGTGCGTGAGTGTGTGTGTGTGTGAGCCATGCATTTTTATGGCATTGCTTTTTTGGGGCTAAGGGCTTGGGGGTGACGGGGGGGTTTACGCTCTCGAAAAAGCAAAAGTTTTCACTTCAAGTACTTTTTTCGCTCTGCTATTCGGTGTTTTTCTTTTTTTATTCGGCAATTTGCTGGCGTTGTTGTTGTTATTATTGTTGTTGCTGCATCATCATTCGCCTGGCAAAAGAGTTTGAGCTCTTGAGTAGCATTAAAGCATCAAACGATTGTCTACGGAGAGCCAAAGGCAATTGACTTCTCCTCCGCTCAACGATACGATACCGGAGAATACTACATGTGCAATAGGATGGGATTGGTTTCATGGGGGGTTTAGGATGGTAAAGGGGGTCATGGGTGGTCCGAAATTGGTTGCCATCGGAGCGGGAAAATGTGAGGAAAATGACAAACCCTCTGCTATTTAAAATATATAACCAACCAATCTTAAAGAAATTATCTGTTACCCAAAAACACTAGTTATAGTTATTACATGCTTTGCCTTTATGTTAATAAAATATATAAAAAATAAGAAGAACTTTAATGAGGCTTAAAAAATACCACCTAAAGTGGTTAAATTAAAAATATTAATAATTTATTTAATTTAATTTAAAGTATATAAATACATAAAGAGGAGTTTTTGTGACAGACTTCTTCTTGAGAAATTGTTGTTTAAATAATTGAAAATTGAGAAACACATTATGAGGCTAACAAAATACGAAGTTGTTCTTCTTAATATTAACAATAATAAAAAAATAAACTCCGTACGCTGTAATTTCAGTGGTACAGTTTATGATTGGGAATACTCTTCAGCTGGCTTGACCCTCAACCCCGTGGGCGGAAAATTGATACCCCATCAATCAGATTGTTCTGCGTGATGGTGAAAATGAAGTGCCAACGTTTCCGGCAAATGGCCAACAATCCAATCAAATGCGCCAATTCCGCCGTAAGCTGCTCAATTAGCCACACGGAAAGAAATATTCCAAAAGTTGAGCACCAAGAAAAGACAACCTATATTGAAGTAGCAACTACATTACCTAATTTGTGTATGCAAAAATGTAGTTTGCTTTAATTACATTTAATTTAACAAACGATAGTGCAAAAGTGGAATGAGAAGAAAGCCAACAAAGCCCTGCAAGTGATACAAATGATTTTAATAATATTTTTACACATTTTGCGCAATTTATTCTGGCCATAATTTCATCAATACTGCGTACTGCACTTTTACCCCTCTTTCCGGCTGAAGAGGTCATTGCATTTTCAATTGCGGCATAATCGGGCACAAAATGCTGCAAAATGTAGCAAATATAATATAATCATTGTATATTTTCCCTTTTTTTTTCCTCGGTTTTTTGTTTTGTTTAGCCGGGGTGGCATTGAAATAATTTAAATTATTTTCGCATTGCATTGGAAATTATGGGCAAACAATTAAGCGGACAGTTTTTGGCCTTTGGCGGTGGCCAATTGCTGTTTTCTATTAACTCTTTTGGGCCAAAGGGGCTTAAATACGGCAAAAACACACAGCCACGGCCGCATTGTGACATTAAATGGTATTTGAATATTTTTGCGTATTGCGTTCAAACGGCTGAAATGCAATTAAAATGTAAAAATTTATTAAGCTACTTTGGCAATTTTCCTAATTACGCGCATTAAAAATAAACATTGAAGTTGAAAAAAGTCTGTATTTTACACAATTTGCGATGGAGTTTCGCAGAGCAGCGCAAAAGTTGACTAAATATTGCAAATTTGATTGTCACACAATTTCCACTGCATACTTTCAGGGGAGCTGAATATTTTCCGTCCTGCAGCAATTATGCCGAGGGGAAAACTGTTTTCCCATTTTCCACGCGACGAAATGGACAATTATTTAAATAAAGCTGCAGATTTGTTTAGGATGTAAGAAAGAGTAAAGTACTTGAGAAAAAAAAGAAAAATGAAGACTGTTTAGTTTATTTTGAAAGTCTTTTAGATGTTTCTTCATTAGCCAAACTCTTTTTTAAATTCCATATTGCAATAGAGGTAATTATTACACTTTCAATTTTTTTTATTATTTTAAGACCTTAGGAAAGAAGGAAATCAAGGACCGTAAATATTAATTATTAATTTGTTTGAAAAAAAGATAATCACAATCAGATGATTACCCTTTTATTATTAATCGCTCAAAAAATAGTTTATATTGCTTTGGGGGAACAACCTTTGCACCAAGCAAAAATTCCGCTTAAAGTCAACTATATTTTTTTTATTACCATGTTTATTTATTTTAATAATAACAAAAAAAAAGTATTTTTAAATAAGGTTCATTTAATAAGCTAACAAAACAATATATATCAACAATGCTGCACAAAACAAGTTATCCCCAAAAATTTTGCTTAAAATTTGATGAATATTTTATTTTCTGGTCGTAAACAAATTAATTAATTAATTAAAAATAATTATTATCACTGATTGCGGTCCATGTAATAATAATATAAATGTTTAAATTTTTTTTAATAGTAAAATATGTTGTATTAAAACTGAAAGTTTACCGCGTAAGATACCTGCTGCTTTATGAATGATAATAAAATATAATCAAGATTGTTTTATAAACTTAAATATATTTTAAAACCAATAGAACCTTTTTGTATAACTCCCAGTCGAAGCATTTTTTGGTGAATTCTTCGATGCAATTCGTTGAAATGCGACGCCTTTTATTATTGACCTCTGTTTTCGCTATATTCCCCATTTCCCATTTCCCCTAGCAATTTCCATTTCAATTTCGCTTTCGGTGGCCGCTGTTCTCCTTTTTGAGAGCTGTCGGCGAACATGATTTATGCACCGCCTCTGCGGGGGCGTGTCTCTTCTATTGCTGTCGCTATTTCACTGGCCGTTGACAGAATCTGCCAATGATCGATGCAATTTGCAATGGATTAATCACGCAAAGAGCACTGCAATAATAAAGCGTTTGTGTTTTTACAGCATGCAATTCATGGCAAATAAAACCCTGATAATTGGTGGCATTCTGCTAATGGGACTGGTTTTGGTTCTGGCCAAGGATCACAGCCTCGAGAATGCTCCACATATCAGACACAAACGCGGAATCTTCTGGGACTTCTTTCAGAAGATGGTCATCACCAAGAACCTCATTGTGGATGTGAGTTGTACTTATCTTACCTTACTTATTTTTTAATACTTTTTAAATTCAATTTCTAGCAATATACGGATACGCGAAATACCCTGAACGATATATACAATACTGTTAACGAACAGTTCAGTGACCCAGGTCCCGATAAACCCACCAGTCGTCCCAGGGTTACCACTGAGAAAACTGTGAGTTTTGGATTGGATTATTTAAGATTAAATTCTATATGGAGTATGTATCTCTTAAACACAGTCCATCAGTGGAGAGGAGAGTGGTAGCAACAGCGAGGAACCCACCACAACGGAGGCCTTCCAGATTTCTCGTTACGAACTGGGTCGCATCCTGGGCAGAAACTACCGGGGTCTTCAAAAATTGGCTATGAGCGAGTTCAACACTGCCCTCAACGTAAGTTTTCTTTGGTAATTATAGATATTTATATAATAGAAACACAAATGAATTATTAACAATTTACAAACAAAAATAATTTTCTAAACAAATGGTTTAGAAAAGCAAAAAAGACAATTTATAAATCAGATTTGAAAATATTTATATTTAAGTCAAAGGGTAACAGTGGCCTTAACCGGAGTTCCCATTTTATCTAATATAATAAAACAAACAAACATCAAAAAATATATATATTTCTATAATATTATCCTATAATAATATCATAATAATATTCTATCACAAAACCAGTCTTTTCAAGTATGCCCAATTGCCAAACAATTATTTAAGTCTTTAACATATATTTTTCCATTTTGTAGGCCACCAAGTACAATCTGGCTGAGTACAAGTCGGAGGCGGACAAGCAGTTCGCCAACAGTTTGGCCGTCGAAAAGAAGAACAAGCTGAAGAGTCTCAAGGGCTGAGCCACGCCCACATCTCCAGTTATAGTTATCACTGTGATAAAATGACGACCGTTGCCTATTTATTTGCTCTTCTCCCCACAAATGTATCGAACAAAATGCGGCTGGGAAAGTGTCCCCAAACGCATACGGATTGTGTGTCAAATTAAAAAGTTTTCTGTCATTATTTTATTGATAAACTTTTAAGTTAAAAAAGCAGTACCGCAAAAAAGAAAAGAGAAAAACGAACAGCAAAACGAAAGGAAGGAAAAGAACGAAAACGAAAACATTTTAAGACGGAAAAGCTGCTGGGAAAAACTAGTACATACATAAAATGATGGTTTTTTGTGGTTTTGTTTATAGCTTAAACTATAATTAAAAAAATGTGTGAGTCAAGAAAAAAAAAGGTATTACTTGATTTGTTTAAATTTTAAATGGTTTTGAAAATAAACAAGCATACAATGATATGGAAAAATTTAAATTTTGTACTACTCAATACACATTTCTGCGAAAATAAAATCAAGAGTTTTCTATAGGTATTTTTATCAATTTTGCTAATAGCTTAACTCATAGTTAAACCAATTTGAAAATAAATGTATGTCAACTAAAGAAAAATATAAGTTTTACTAGATTTATTTATATAGATATATTAAACATTTTTAAATTATAATTTTTTTTAAGTAAATGGAAAATATATATTTTGTAGTCCACAATACACAATCCAGTGAAAATAAACTCAAAAAGGGACCCCCATCTTTTCCTCGCCCACATGACTGCAACTTTGTACTGGCTGAAATCGAAGTAAAGTTGCAAACAAATCCAAAAGGCAAAACTTACTAAAATACAAAGACAGTTTTGGGTCTCTGTCTGCCCTCTGCAGGATCTGCTTTCTCCTTTCTGCTTTCTCCCTTTCTGCTTTCTCCCTTGGCCGCCGCATAGTTAGCAGAAACCACTAAAAGTGTCATAATTCGATGCCCATGAGATGGCTGTCTCGAAAGTACGCTGGCCGACAAAACTTTGGCGGTAATGACTGTCGTTCCCATAGTTCCCCCCCTCCCCGCCACAAAAACAGCCTGGTGGTGATGGTGGTGGTGTGGTGCAACTGTGCGTATGAGCAACCTGCCTTGTCTGCAAACTTCTGCCGGGGGAAAACAACGGCAAAGCCAAAAAATACCAGGCGAATGTTCGCCAGCCGGAAACTTATCGAAAGTGGCGAGGAGTTGCAGCTGCAGCCGCCAGGGGGGAATATCTCTCAGATAAACAGATTCGCCTACACTTTAATATTTATTCCACAGTTTGATTATCCTGGCGGATGAATACTATAGCGTGTTCATTGGGAAACTACACATTCAGTTCAAGTTGTTAAATGGCATGGCAACAGCCAAATGCTGCTTAAGTGTATATATGTTGTTATTTGAATAGTTGCTATATATAATTGTATTACCAGCCAACAAAGTGTGATGGGTAGAATAGGTTGCCATCTGTACAAAACAGTCACCCTTATGCCTAGATGTCTAATTTTGGCCAAGTTACAAAAAAAAAGACTCACAAAAAACACATTAAAAACTTGGTTTTTGTTTCAAAACCCTGGGAAATAATGGTCAAAATGTGGAATGTCATACACCGTTGAATTCGTAATAAAATTTCCAATCGAATGACATTCACAGCTTAAAATGTTAAATTTGTACAAGTTTTTGCAAAAAATGATGATGTAACCCTTTCAAAAAATGTGAAAATTTGGCAAAAAATAATTTTATCGTAGTCAACCGAAAAGTGAAATGGATCGAAGGATTAGGTCGTCAGATACAACAAACAATTGGTATTTTAGTTGTGGGTCACTTGTTGGGCAAATTACAACCAGAATTTCTTTAAAAAATACTTAAAAAGTATAATTATTGAGATAGAAAATACACTTGTTTTCGAGTTTCCGAAATGTATGGCCTATTTTATTTGAAGTGTTAAGTCCTCTAATGAAACCAATTCCATGAGAATAATTCACAACTGTGAATTGCTTTGAAAATATTGTTCTGGTCATTTTCTCTTGAACAACTGGCACTGCAGCCCATTGAAAACAAATCCCCTCCAACTCCACTTCCCATTTCCCACTCCCATTTCAGCTCTGCTTTCAAAACCCAAAGTGATAATCTGATTTATGTGAAGTGTTTATTTTGGTTGGCAGTTTTTATTTGACGATTCCGACATGTGAGTCAGCTGGATGTGTATGCTGATTGCCTTAATTGTTTCGGGTTTTGGCACTGCGACGCATGTGCAGTTATGAGTAATTTGCACAATAGAACAATTAGTCTAACAGCCAGTTCAACTCTAGCACTGAATAGCAACCAAGTGCGGAAGTTTCAAATTTAAGCAGCCTCATCCGAAACTACGTGACATTATGAGTAATCCCCTCACTTGCGTAACAATCATCGTGTAATTTGCCAGCGATCTCATTCAATTAGTGGCGAAAAACAAGCCGTAATTCGATCAATCGATCGGGAAATCCTACTTGGCATTCTGAAAATGTCTTGGCATTCATTGTAGAAGTACAAAAAGCACTGTTATTGCTACTTGACATTGGCACATCCGCGCTCATAAGTGAATGAGTAAATGAGTAAGTGAGTAAATGAGTAAATTAGCCGAGCGAAGGCAAGTCGATCAAATAGAAACTGACCGAAATGTAAACAAGCTCCAAATGACAAGACAAATGTCAATGGGTAATAAAAAATATTACACTGGTAAAAAAACGTGGTAAGTCCAAATATTTTGTTCTCTATTTAAATATTTTTCGCTTTGATTTTCATCCATTATTTATTCTAAATATGAAAATATAAAACATTTTTTAAATGTTGTTTTTAAATAATTTCGGAATTGATTTTAATATCTATAAATTTATTTTGAACTAAAACCATATTTAAATTAAAAAAATCCATTTAAATCAAATATAAACTATTTAAAATCAAAATACTTTATTTTACAATAAATCTTAAAGTCAATATTCTGATATTTATAGTTCCTATTCAATTTACCTGTGTATGCACTCAGCCGCTAAGCGGGAAATACCCTGACAATAACTCAGATTACTCGGGATTAAAGGGCACAGACTTTACATATTTACAAACATTTTATGACGCAGGGCTCAATATATTTATTTTATTTTTATTTTAGTTGAGCGGCAAATAGATACAAATTGTTAATCCCCAAATGTTTATGCTTTTTATTTAGAAATAAAAGTTTCATCTAACTTAAACACATTTATTATCTTATCATTGCATGTCAGATGTTCTTTTGTCAAATTATAAATAGTTTTCTTTTACAAAATACCTTTAACACTCAAATTTAGATCACTGCAAAATACATATATTATTGCCATGATATTCTGTGTATTTTGTAGTTTCCCTATGCAAACGATAGAAAATCACCAATAAATTACAGACCAGCCAAATAAACGAACTGCTCGTCATGGTGACTGATCAGCAGCATCTCAACTATATAATTTATTTCGACAGTGAGTGAAGGTTGACGATTTGAAGGGAGCAACGATGTTTGCCTTTATGTTGTCAACTGGGTGCCACTGCACTCGACTTCAGTTCTCAGAAATAATGGATTGAATTTGAATAATTACTTCGCAAATGTAAATACCTTGCGGTTTGCTTTCTTTTTTAGTTGTTAATTGCCTTAATGTCTCGGCTTTTGTTCCCCCGTTTTTCCCAATAATTCCACTAAATCACTTTGTGTTCTTGAGACACAAAGCACATTGAACCCAACAAAATTGATTGGGTTCTAAAATAAAGTACACAATATTTAAGCTATTATTTCATGATCAACTTTTTTTAAAATATTTTGTACCTTTATTTTTATAGATTATGTACTTTTGTTTGGAGTTGTATTGCTGTAAAAAATATAGCATTGGTTGGTAATAATATAAAATATATAAAATTTTAAATATTATTGTATTAGACAATTTATGGTAAGATTTTATTTTTATCATGATTTTCATGGATTATGTTCATTTGTTGGAATTGAAGGGCTGTGTATATAAAATTTATAAAAGGTTCTGCTATAAAATATTATTACTTTATTAAATTACTTTTTTTCCTGTTAAGATTTTAATTTAGTCTTTATCACCTTGGTTTTCTTAGATTATGTACTTTTGTTGGAATTAAAAATCTGCCAAAAATATTCATTTTATAAAAGGTATATAAAATAAATAAAATATATAAAATATAAAATATTTGTACTGTATTAAATGCCTTCATATTTTCTGCTTAGATTTTAATTGAATCTTCTTCAGTTTGATTTTCCTAGATTCTGTGTTCAATTTTATTAATGTGTGTTTATGTTTTTGTATGTAAGCATATATTTTTGGCTGGCCAAGGTTCAAAGATTCCCTGTTTGTCTGTTTATGCTTTTATTTGTGAATATATATTTTTTGGTTTGCATAGATTATGTGGCATAGTTTCCTTGACTTTAATGCCTGCCTAATTCCAAGGTTCAAAGATCCCCTAAGTTTTGTTTTGTTTTTTCGCTGTCTGTCCGATTTAATTAGCTCCACATTGATAACCAGCGATGCCCGCTTATCAGCATCAAATTAAGTCGCAAAACACATACAGGTCACGAATTCCACATCACTTGATTTAGCTTTTTATTTGTAAAGATCACAAGAAAAAAAAGTAAAAAACAAAGAAAGCTTATGCAACAAAGTCCTCCAGTTGTGGGAGTTTTCTGAAAATTTAAAAATTGTATATTAACTAGTTAAAGGGTTTTTGAGACGGGTCTTAGACTGACCTTATGGAGCCGGGGAGCTGGGTCCTCCGATGGGGGCCAAAAGGACCTTCTCGGTGGGCCCGTCGTAGATCACGGGCACCTTGGGGGTGGTGGAGGCCTCATCGGTGAGTTTGTGCTTCAGCTCGTCGTACTTCTGGGCCACCGAGCTGCCAAACTCCTTGGCGCCCTCGCCGATCTTGTCGGCGTAGGGCTTGGCCGCCTCCGCCACATCCTTGGCCCCCTGGTTGACCTTGCAGCCCAGGTTCTTGAAGAAGTGCTTGAAGTCGCTGTCCTCGGGCGCCTTGGCCTCGTCGCACTCGGCCCGCACCTCATTTGCGGCCATCAGGAGCAGCAATCCTAGCAAAGAGCACACCACCAGCGATTTCATCTCGACGTTTTCAGGTTCACAACGCGACTGATCGATCGCTCGCTCGGTCCGCTCTGAGACGGCGGCCTACGATCTGGAATCTCGGCTCGGTACAGCCAACCGGTTCGGCACCACCCCCCCTCGCCCCTTAGACCTTAGATCCCCCCTTTGGCTGAAATAGACCCCAATCAAGTTGCGTTCGTGCGCTCACTCAATGCGAACTGCTCTAGCTTCGCCGTAATGGAAGCTCTTGTGCACAGGGAAAAATAAGACAGTCATTTTAAAAACTTTACCTTAAAAAATATTTTTTTCTAGGATGTGAATTTTGTATATATTTATTAAATTTATATTATCTTATCTTATCAAAAGCTATCTATATATAATTACATTTCTTTAACATATTAAATTTGAATATAAACTCTGTTTGCCTTATCTTATTTAGAGCTATCTAAAAATAAATTTTTCCAACACTTTTAAATATTAATTAATGTATCTCTAATAATAATAAAATAAACAATTGTCTTCGCTCAAATATCGATTTTAATTGCTACTTTTATAGCGTCACCTAAAAAATTATGTATTGTAAATTCTCAAAACTTGTTTCTTTTATTGAAAGCACTAAGCAGCATGTGAACATATTTGTAAAATGCTAAAAAGTGCCGTAACAAAAACACGGCAAAAATCAGAGAAATAAATAGTTATAGTGTGGTGCTATAAAATATTAGATTGTTTCTTTTGTTTTGCTCCACAAAAATATAAACACACAAAATTACAAAAAAGCGTTTGACATTGGTATAATCTGCTGTTATTAAAGCAAACAAAAACTGTAAATATTTACTCATTGTTTGGACAAATTGTAAGCCAAATTGATGGATAATCAACTTAAATTAAAGTCACGAGGCCACTATTATTTTTGGCATAGTTTTAGATAGGCCCATTAAACACCCAATTTTACCAATCAATTAAATATTATTTACACCCTTTTTTTGCGCTTTCTGGGCAGTTTAATTAAAAACAAAGAAGTCTAATTTTATTTTTATATTAAGTTTATTTGCGGCTTTTACAGTTTAATAAATAAACACAAAGTGTTAGTTTTATACCAATTATTTTTTATTTAAATGCGATTTTGTAACTTTCACTATAAAAACATAAAAACCGTTTGTTCTTCGCTGCCATTTCTTTTGTGGCTTGGGCTTATTCCTGACTTTATTTGGTTTGAGGAAGCCTTAAACTCTAGTCTCTCATTTAGGGGGCACATGGTGGCTTCGGCCGCTTGGGATTCCTCCAGTTGTAGCAGCAGCCGCGATGATCCCGCGCCGAGCAGCTAAATCCCGACCAGACCATGCCCTTGCTAATGGGCAACGATATGGAGACCATAATGATGATTATCAGGAGTGCGCAGGTGCTCAGAAGCTGCATCTTCACCGACGACTGGCAGGTGACAATTGAAGCCAAACCATTCAGTTTGAGCCTTATTCACTGATTCACTCACTGATCCGTTGAAAAACAGTTGAAAAACCGGCTCACAGGTTAGCCGAAGTTGCAGGGCTTCAGTTTGCTTATGTTTGTTTATTTTTGTTTATTTTTGGCCAATGTGACCACGGTGGCGAGAAAAGTCCAGAAGAGAAAGTCGGGAAAGAATCCCAAGTGCGGTGAGTCACAAAAGCAGAACTTTAACCCAATTGGTGTTCGGTGTTCAGTGTTGAGAACAAGTTTCGGGCTTCCAGTTATGCTAAATTTAATACTTTATAGGTAAACAAGTAGTCATGCGTAATGAAAAGGTTTTCTTTTCACTTCTTAGAAACCCAAATGGTTTAGTGATAAAAGTACATAAGAGTACTTAGCGATAAAAACTTTTATTTTAAAATTTCTATTTTTGTAAAACAGACACCAAATTGGCTTTTTTGGTGTCCAAAATTTGAATTCTAAATATTTGCTGTCTAAGAAAAAGTAACAATTAGAAAAGCCGTTCAAGAAAATCAGTTGTATGTTGTCCTTGTTCTAAGTACACAGAAAAAAAAGATGTTGAAATTGAGAAAGAAAAAAATTACGAATTTATTCAATATTAATTTCACACTATTGGAAATTATCAAATTGAAATTAAATGGTTGCTTTTTTAAAATTAACAGGAACAATAAAATGATAAGAAAAAATGATTGTTTTGATGAAATTTCGTATTGATGTGGTCTTGAAACTTGCAAATATCACATTGCAAATTACCCACTTTTTTATGGATTTGCACTAGTTTTTTGTCTGTATAGGATTGGCTTACTTTCCAGTAAGAGCAAACATCTTTATTAATTAATATAAATATTTTTAGGCATATGGCTTATCTATGTACACTACTGGCTCTTCTCGGGTATGTAGTCCACCTCGTTGGCCTGATCCTCCAGCCAGTCCATGTGAATTGGTTGCGAAGTAGTGGTCAGCAGCTCCTCCTTAAGATCGTTTTTTGAACTGACACTAGAGCTAGAAGCCCCCGAAGTGGAAGATCCCTCTGTGGAGGATTGGACGTCCTCTGGTTCCTTATCCTTATTCTTATCCTTATCCTTTTCGGAGTTTGAAGGCAAGGCCAGCACATTGACCAGCATGTTGATGCGCTGGAAAAGCGATCTGGTGACATCGCGCGCCTTCTCCTCCAGAATCTTGGCCTCCTTCTCGATGTTGGCTATCCAGGGCTTGGCCTTCTCCAGAGTGCATTGCAGACTGTGGACGAACTTGTTGACCTCGCTGGGACTGGGCGTGGTCGCCGCCTCCGAATCCTCCAGAGACTTCGTCTCCGCGGAGCCGCATACAATGGAGGCTCCTTGGATTTGGCCTATGCCCAGGCACAAAGTGGCCAAAAAGACGGCCATAATCAGGGAATTAGTCATCATCGCGGTCTGTCTCGAATCGAATGTCGTGTATCGTCGCCTTTGAGACCCCAAACTCAACTGAAACCCGTTTGCAGCCGCAGTCGCAGCCACCTGACCAAGTTCTTCGGTATAAGCTTATAGTAGTGTAGTATCTGGTGGCTTTTGGGCTGGGTCTTTGGCTTTGCGCTTTTTTTCAGAGGCGAGAAAGTCGTCGGGCAACTGAAATGCATTTGAGGCGAGCGAAAAGAGAGGCCCAGAGAAAGAGAGAATTTCCAGAGAAATGGAAAAGGCTGGAGAATTCTCCAGAATGTGCCAGAGAAAGAACAAAAAGGCGGATAGAGAAAGGTTCATGGGTACTACTTTGCATAATTGCAAAGGTGACTAATCTGTCAAGTGGCTCGTTAAGTCTAACAAAACATCCGGAGCATCTAGAACATATATTTTATTGGTTTAGTCACTAACCAGCTTAAAATGGGGTTTTCTTGTTGATTTGCTTTATTAAAATTTATATATGTTCGATCTAATCAAAACATACTATTTATTTAAAAGAATGGCATTTATTTAAAATTATTTTCCAATACCTTTATACCATTTAAAACTCATTTAATATTTTATAAAGTAAGTAAAAGCCATGTGTAATATTTATGTATTTTTTTAACATAAAAATATTTACATATATTTGTCTACCTCGTCTAAATCTTTAAAATCACATCTTAAAGGCTTTGCCAAGCTAGTTTATCTTTAATAGGCTTCACATTTGCATACATATGAATCATCAAAAAGGGAACATTAACACAGGTACAGCTGAATCAGGCCAATTTAAAAAAAAAGTGAAAACAAATTAAAATAAAGGTAAAAAAACACTTTTAAAAAAGCGTAGTACGTACTTGTGTCATACTCAATTTAAATATTGTTTTGCTCAAATTTTCATTATTATATTTTTCACATTACTTAAAATATTTTTAATATTTAATCAAGCAATTTAATATGCATTATATCTAATTATAAAGTCTAAAATTCTTGATTGGCATTTCCCCGAAAAAAAAACTCATGGATTGTATTTCACTTTCATTTTTTATTTACACGAACCAAAAAAAAAAACTCATAAAAAACTTAAGCATTTAGGGGAGCAGGAGTCGAGTGCTCCCACCATTCGGTTACTTCCTCAACTTGCTGCAGTTGCCCAAGGCGTCGAGGATGTGTCCGTGGCCACACTGCTGCTCGCCCTTGAGGATGTCAGGATTGATGATCTCGACGTTGGCCAGGAAGCCGCGATCCTTGCTCATCTCCTCGGCCGAGTCCTTGGCCAGCTTGTCGCGCAGGTCGTCAAAGCGCTCCTTTAGATCGCTGCCCAGGACCTTGGCCTTCTCGCCCAGCTTCTGTGCACCCTCCTTGATCTCGGTGCCGAGGTCCTTGGCCCGCTCGCCCAGCTTCTTGGCCCCCTCCTTGATGTGACAGCCCACGTTTTTGAAGAAGTCGCGCACCTCGTGCTCCGAACTAGTGCTACTGCCCGAAATCTCCGATATTTTGTCGCTCACATCGCTTAGTCCGGGAATCTTATCCTCACAGTCGAAGAGACCAGCCTGACTTGGCAGGAAAATTCCAGCCAGCAGGACGAAAAATAGAAATCCTTGCAGATGATTCATCTTAATATATATGTATTTAGTGTTTGGGGTTCCTTTGGCCTTATGCGCACACACAAGTACCAGACTGAACGATGACTCCGGCGAGACTGACCTGGGGCGCCTCCACTTCCACCCATTTTATTCGCATCGAAGTCACATCGCCTTTGTGTGTCACTTGCTTCGCATTTTCCTTAATTCAATTGGCGAACAGCGACAATCATTGCAATTGTGCGCTGATTTAAGCATAACTCGACAAAGATACAAATTATATTATAGTTACAAAAACAGGGCAATGAATCCCTTCGCTGAGATATATATATATATATATTATATATATTTATATATATATCCCCATCTCAAGCCACTTTGATTACGCACCTTTAAACCACCCAAATAAATACGCACTTTTTTCATGCCAAGCCGGAAGCTGTGACAAATATGGTATATAAATAGATTATAGACTTGGGCATACTCGTACACATATATATATCAGTAGTATATGTGCTAGTCAATTGCTATTCAGACGAACTGATCTGGAATTGACCCACAATGGCACGAGCTACTAGTGATTATGAAACAATTGGCGAGGCCATAAGATTCTCGCAGAGAAATCTAGTAAATGTTTAAAAGGGGATTTTCGAAGGAGCTGGAAATTCAAGCAGTTTCCGGTCATATGTAAAGTTTCTTACTCGGTAAATTAAAAAAATGAAAACTAAAGAATTAAAAGGCATAAGGCAAAACATGTGGATTTGGTAAATTTATTTATTGTATTTTTTAGGACACAACAAAACAAAAAATTGTAATTAAACATTATTTTTCTAAGCTTTTGAATAAAATCTTTTTCAATAATTGTTCAATAATTATTAATATATAAAAGTTTTTTAAAATTTTTTTTACTTGTTACCTTGTGGTTTGATTTTGTTTTCAATAAATTTATATTAATTTATATTTTTTTAGCATATTGGTTTAGATTAAACATCAATTAAATAAATAAATCTTCCATAATTAAATAATTAAAAATTTTTACTTTTAATAAATTAAATATTATTTATAGCATTTAAGTGTAATTAGAATGCACATCAAAAGTTAGAAATATTGTCTAAAAATGTTGTATACCCAGAAAAAGAAAGCGTTATAGTGTTATTGAAATTTAAGTTAAGCGTTTTAGTGTTATTGAACTTTAATTTAACTTAAAGTATTGTCTTGAATTCAAAATCGATCCACCCTCGAAACACAATTATACAGAGGAAAAGCACTTGAACTGCCGTAATTTGTAATTTTATTGACACCCAATTAAGGTAACAGATGGAACAATCAAACTTCTCCTATCAAGCGCTATTTTCCATTTAAGATCTAGTTCCAGTCGCCGTCATCATGATCTCCAATTGAATGGGGTTCCCTGTCATTAAAGTTGGTATCGTACCCGTCCTCCGCATCGGCCTCGTCCTCCTGATCCATTTGATCCTCGGCATCTTCTACGCTTTCACCATCGTCTTCTGGCAGTTCCATGACTTCCTCAGTGACTTCTTCTTCTTCTTCTGGTGGAGTTATGGACTCTTTTTCGCTTTCGGGATTGGATTCGTTTTCAATATCGTTTTCTGAATCAGTTCCGGTCTCTTCTTCCTGATCTTCTGGTTCCGGTTCAGGTACAGTTTCTGGTTCAGTTTCTGGTTGCGGTTCCGGTTCCGGTTCAGTTTCTGGTTGCGGTTCCGATTCAGTTTCTGGTTCCGGCTCCGGTTCAGTTTCATTTAAATCTGAAATTCTGGTACTAGTCGTGGTTGAAGGTGCACCTTTAAATTAGAAAAATACTCATTTAGAGTTCAGAGCATATATATATATATATCTTTGAAACTAAACTCACATTCTTCCCGTGTGGGATCGTAGTCACAGCGAATCTTACGCTCCATGGACTCATCCAGCAGTGGTTCCGGAGTAGTGGTGGTTCTATGAGTGGTGCTTCTGGTGGTTGTGGGCGCCCTAGTAGTGGTGGTGGTGGTGGTAGTAGTGGTTGCAGTTGGCCTGCTGGGCACCACATTCTTTACTAAATCCCTACCTAAGAGAATAGGTAGAAGTTTTATTTTTTAACTATTTTTGTATAAAGATAATCTTATACGTTGCATGAATTCACTTTCTTACACTTACTAAATCCCTACCTAAGAAATGGCATCAATAATACTTTTTTAAACTATTTTTGTATAAATTATAATCTTTCTTACACTCCGGAAGATTTGGCTCAAAGTCGCAGCGAATGCGCCAGTCGATCTCGTCCTCGTCGAGTGGAATGACCACCTTCTTGGGCCTGCGCACATAGTACACCTCCTTGACCTCGATGATCTCCAGGTCGGGATCGTCCGGCGAGATGCGTCTGCGCACGAACCGATGCCGTTCTCCGTCCGGAAGAGAGCGCGCCTGCAGATTCTCCAGGCAGGAGAATCCGAGCAGAAGAATTGCAAGCAGGGATCGGGATGTGTTCATCGCGTTGTCTGCGGCTAAACTATTTTGCAGCAAGCTTTGCGCATGGAACAATAGCGAGCCAAGCGAAAGCTTATCAAATGCGATAACCTTCTGACCTTGGACTCGTGGCGCGGGGGAGCGGTTCGAGGGGAGGGGGAAGATTTGAACCCATGCCAAGCAAAGTGTTGCATACTTTCGCACTGCGCCGTTTAATTGCGGCTCTTGCCTCGTGACGATGCATCAATGTCCGCACAAATTAGATTCCATCCACGGACACGTTACAAATTAGCCGCAAACATAATTGCCACGAGCTTGGCTAAATGCCCCCCCCCTTTGCTGCCCACAGCCCTCCGCCCCCTTGAAAAGGGGAGGCCAGATGCCGAAATTTGGCAGGGCATTCTGCTGCCAGTCATATGGGGCACATCGAAATCATCGAGGCGTAGAATGAATAAATAAATAAACATACATATATTGGTACCAAAATGTTTGTACTGAAAAAGTTCCAAACAAATATTTAGTTTATATAAACATTTAAAATTAAATATTTATGTGGAACATTTTCAGTTTAGATGCTAATCATTTTAAGTTTTTTACGCAAAATTTTAGTAAACTTAAAAATAAATAATCATTTTAATTAACCGAGAAAGTTATATTCAAAATATTTTAATGATATTAATAATATAGAAAAAACCATATATTTAACAGATCTATTTTAAAACATAGTTTAAGCTACAGCATAAATAAGATTAAAAAATACAACACAATTTTTAATACATATAAAGAAATATTTTTGTTTTAATTATTAATCAAAAAAGATAATATATATATTTAGGACCACTTTTATTTATACAGTTTTTTTTATAAAATAGACATAAGTGTTACATTATAAACTCTTTAATTGCATTGAAGAAATGCCTTTTTTGCGTGATCGAATGTAAATTTAAGTAACAAACAACTAGATAAATATTATTAGTTAATAGTGGGATCTTTGCGTAATCGATATGCCCTCGATCGGACCTTTTGGGGTTGCAAATTGACGAGCAGCTGACTCATCGCAAGTGCCAGGACCTCGGCTATCAATATGGTCTCGCTGCGATGATGAAAAATGCGTGAAAAGTCATTTTCCCCATACATATTCGTATTTTCCCCAGTTCGCTTTACCTTTTCTGCCTTTCTTTCTGCCACACACTTTTCCCTCTTTTTTTTGCCCCTGTTTGTTTGTCATTTTTCAATGGCAAAATGTTTTGGTGGTGCAAATTAGCCGAGCGACGGCGGCCACATATGTTTCAGTCATTTCCCAATAACATAACCGAAATATGTGTGTTTCTGTGTTTTTCCCTCGGTTCGAAAAGTGGGCGGCAAGGGGCGTGGCACGGGATAGATAAACAAAAATGTTGTGAGGAACACACACACTGAAAACATTCATACACTTTGGAGACGGGGCATCATCACTTTGATCTGTGGTCAGTCAGGCCTTGCGTATGGGATTTTCAAAAATATTTGCCAAAATATTAATTAATGACATGCTTTGGAAGATTAAGTGGATTGCTGATGTCACTTTGAGGTAATTCTTTTCTGTAGGAAAACAAAATACCATTTCTTGTATTTACAATATATATATATATATATATATATATATATATATATATATTACATAGATTGAAAGCTTTTTTTGTACGTTTTTACAAAGTAATTTTTTTTTTGGGAAAATAAATTTGTTTTAAATGTTCATTTGTTTGTTTATAATGCCTTATCATATTAACATTTGAATTGTGATTAGCTATAAATATTTTGTTTACACATACAAAGTCACATTACAAAGTCATTTTTTTTTTGGGAAAATAAATTTGTTTTAAATGTTCATTTGTTTGTTTATAATGCCTTATCATATTAACATTTGAATTGTGATTAGCTATAAATATTTTGTTTACACATAGCTGATACTAATGTTTTCATGAGAAATCATATATATTTTTTACAAGATAATTTTCTAAAGTCTTCCAATTAATATATTATTTACTAAATGTAAAAAGTAAAATGTTAAATAATTTTAAATCGGTCTGTTGGCCATTGTGCTTATAAGCTTAGTTTTTAATCTGTAAATAAAAAGTTCAATAAATTGTTTAATATGGTTGATGAGGATTTCTTGAATCTAAAAACATATTTTATACAATATGTGAAATTTCAAGGGTATTTAAATGGCGATATCTTTTAGTGATCTTCTCCGAAAAAATGCTCGTTGTGAGAGCGTGAAATATGCAAATTGCCAGTGGGTCATCCCAGGGGGTGGGGGGTTGGCTTTTCAGAAGGGAGGGGCGCAATGGGCGGGGTGGGTGCTTTTTTTTTGGGCCCGCGAGATGCGGCCAAATCGAACAGTTGGCTACGAGGCACGTTGGCGGGCGGAACTCAAAGCGTTCGCAGCTGATCGGCGGCACCGAAAAGAAAGAGACGCTAGACGCCAGTTAGAGCGAGACGGCGAGCTGGGAAGCCTCTGAGTGCGAGCGGGAGAGCGGCACATACATATCTACTATCTGTCTGCGGAAAAGATCGCTGTGTTTTCCCTTCTCTGTTTTGGTTTGCCAACCCATAAAACTCTGTTTTTTGTGTGTGGTGTTTTCTTTTTGTGTCCCTGTTTTTTTTGTGCCCTATAAAGTGGCAGAGTGTGTGCCACATTCAAGTGTCACCAGCGGAAAAGTCCTAAGAGTCGGGAAATTGAGAAAGCGAACGGGAACGCTTTTGGGAGCGGATCAACTAAAAATAGCAGAACATAAAAGAGAGAGGGAATGCTGAAAAAAAGAAGCCAAAAATAATTGAAGCGTGGGCAGCATCAGCATCCAAAGCGAAGGACAGTGAAGCCAGGCTACCAGCTACGCAAATAATAAGTAAATCAAATAATAAATTATTATCGTTAAAAGAAATACAGGGAGACCATTGAAAATAAACTAAATCCAACAGACAAAGGAATAAAAAAGTCAAATATTAAATCAAATAGCTCAAGTTTCAATGATACAAATCAATTAAATTGAATGAAATTCAATAAGCAATAAAATGATAATGCAAATAAATAAAATAGCTAAAGATTCCAAAGATTTATTTCCTTAAACTTGTGCCATAATTAAACAATCATAAAACAATAAATTAAAATCAAGAAAGCATTATAAGCAAACCAAAACCAAAAAAATGAAACAATAAATACATAACTAAAAATTTAAAAGATATTTCCCTAAACTTGTGTCATCATAAATTACTTAACAACAACCATTTTTAAAAGCAACATAACAAAACTAAATAATTTAAGCGAGGAAAGGTCATATAGACAAACCAAGTCCAACAAACAGAAATAAATAATAATAATAAATTAATAATAAAATAAAATAGCTAAACTTGTATAGAAAAGAAAACATATAAAAAAATAGTTAAGAACATCATTTTCAATAAATTAAAAACAAAAAATCATTTAACGAATGCTGCCTGTACACACATAGTTGAGATAAACAATAAATTGGCCAAAGGCCAACAAAAAAGAGCAAGCCAAAGATCAGCCGTGAATGAAGAAGAAGCAGCAGCAGCATTAGATAAAGTCAGTTCAAACAAGAGAACGGACAACCAACAGGTGGAAGGAAACGGAGACCCCAAAAGATCAAAAATCAAGAGAGAAACCCAAGGAAACCGTAAGGAAAACACAAATAAAACAAAGGGCAACCAGCTGATGAGCTGCAATGTCCCAGGAAGCTGAAGATGGGGACGATGCCTTGCAGGAAGAGGACACTGGTAAAAAAAACGTAGTAACTTTCAATATTTTCTACTCAATTTAAGTATTTTTTGCTTTGATTTTTTTTAGTTATTTTAAATGGTTAATGAACATATTAAAATTGTTAGTTTGACTATTTTGGTAAATGTTTTTAGTAACTGCAAATCTAAATTAAATTAAAACTACTTTTTATTTAAATACAATAAATTTAAGTCAAATAGTAACTGTTTTCAATCACTGATTGATTATATTAATTAGATATTTTTATAATAAATCAAACAATAAAATATTCACTGTATTAAATGATTTAGTATTTGGCTTATAAGTTTAATATTAAATTTTCAATTCATTGTTTTCAATGCCATTTTTGTTTTTCTCAGTGGAGGAGGCCTTGGATCCCCTGGCCAACTTGCTAAGTCTCAAGCTAAAGAAGCCATCGCATTGGAACTGGGAGCTGAGCACCTCTCGCAGCTGTAGCAACATTGCTCTGCCGCGGATTCTGCTCTACGATCACTCCGGCAATCTTCTGGTGAATGCCGATGGCCAAAAGGAGGAGACCTTCACGTCCAGAGACTCCCAGCGAAGACGCAAGCGTTCGGCCACCTCCAATTTGAGCTTGGAGCGCAACTTCCATGGCCTGCGAATAGCAGAGGCCACGCCCTCGGCCACGCCCATTTCGAGCAGGGAGAGGAGCCATCACCATGGCAGCTGCATAGACTTCAGCACCCACGAACTGCCCAATTGGGAGCCATCGGTGAGCTCCAGGCGCTCCAGTTCGCTGCGCGGAGTGCGCTTCCAGGAGTTCCAGGAATCTGGCCAAGAGGATCTGCCGGTGTACCCCACTCCGCCCTCGACTTCCACCCTGAACTCCTCGAGTTCGGGTCCGCGGGAGAAGAGACGCTACCGGCGGTCGCAGAGCTCCATCCTGGAGCGATTCAGCCTGTCCAAGGGGCGCCACTCGTCGCCGGAATTCGCCACGGAGGAGGAGGTGGCGAAGGCGCCGCGATACTACCTGCGAACCAGCAAGGCGGGCACCCTGGTCATCCGCGAGGATAGCTTCAGTTCGCAGAAGATGCGCCACCGACGTCGTCGTCCGCCCAAGCACTCCTCCAGCGAGAATATCCTGCAGGAGGATCACCACCAGGCAGCCGCTACCAGTGTCGTGCAGGCCACGATGCGCAGGCGGCCACAGGCGGAGCAGAGGACACTCCTCCAGTCTACCTCCGAGGACGAAAGGGATCTGCAGCAGGAGCAGCAGAAGCAGCAGGAGCAGCAGGCATCTGGGGCACGCAGGTCCAGGGGCAGGCCCAGGAACACGAGCCAACGCAGCTGCGGTAAGGATGCAGCCAAGGGTGAGTACACTGAAAAAAAATAAAAAGGAAAGGAAGCAAACTTCGCCTAGACGAAGTTCTCATGGCAGCTATATGATATCGTTTTCCGATTTCAAAAAAATTAAAAGCCTAATTCTGAACTGTCAAGTTATTAATAAGTTAAAAAGAATTTAAAAAACAAATTACAAAATAGAGAATTACATTGTTTCACAATTTTTCCTTTTTTAATATTTTTTATTGTTCATATGGGAGCTATATGATACAGTTGTCCGATTTTAAAAAAATTAAAACCGTAATTCTGGAATATTTAACAATTACTATATGTCGAAGAACTAAATAAAAAATTAAAAAACATCAATGTTATAATTTTATATTCGTTTATTTTTCCGATTGCTCCTATATGCTATAGTCGTCCGATCCGGCTCGTTCTGACTTATATACTACCTGAAATAGAAAGACATCTTTTGAGAAAGTTTCATACAGATAGATTTAAAACTAATAGATTAGTAGATCAAGGATATGTTTACTTTTTAAGGTCGGAAACGTCTTATTCACTGCGTTGCAAACTTCTGACTGAAATTATAATACCCTCTGCAAGGGTATAAAGAGGGAGTAGCAGGTCATAAAATCCATTTTAAGACTACTAAATGTAGTGCCATGCTATATGTATATAACTGAATAGAAACTGGAATTATAAACTAAAAAAACATTTGTTATGTTCCCAATTGCAATTCAGAGCTCATCACCGTGGATCCCGACAATTGTGTGTATCGAGCAGCGCCGGGCGCCACCGCACGATAGAAGAAAGTCACCAAAATCCCCAAGAAAGCCACCGAAGAAAGCCACATAAGGAATCCACCCAAAAAAGCCAACCAAATAGAAGAGAATTGCTCTAGAGAAACGCAGAAACAGTCAGGAAATAAGGGCAGTACGAGAACAGACAAACTAGAGTTCCTCCTTGTGATGTAAGACGATAAAACAAATGCAAATAAAACAAATATATAAAACTGAAGCCCCATTGTACATCTTATTAAATAACAGAGTTTGAGTCTACAATAAAAACTATAAAAAATGATTGAGTAAAAATTCTAATTTCTTACACATTATAAAATGTGTTTATTGTGCCAGCAAATATTTTTGATCGAGCCCATTACGAACAAGCTTTTACATTGTCACAGTCCGACATTTGTCCCATTTTTGGACTACGCTCACTTAAAACCATTCAAAAAGGTTTGCCAAAAAGGTCTGTCAACCTTTCGCTCTTAAATTATTTATTTTTAACTAATCTTTGAGGTCGAACTACCTTAAACTCGAGAACAAATTAATGGTGTAGTTTTGTGTTTAAAAGCAAATATGATTAAATAATTTTCATATTTAAGGTAAATCTAGATAGTCCTAGTTTTTTTAAAATGCAGGATAGTTGTTGAAATTTCTAGGCAGCTTAAAAAGTGAAAATGCTTCAATGCATTAGTGTCATTATTATGAAGTAATTAATTAAATTAAATTAGTTAAAACAATAAATGTGGCAGCTTAACAATTTTGTTATAGTATAAAAATGTTATTAATGTAAAGTTGTAATAATAATAATGATATTTTAAAGTGCTTAATTTAAGGAAATAGTATCCAAAGCTTCTGTTGTCTAAGGCAACTAACATTTGCTTGGGAATAAATAGCCAGAACAGCCTAAAAGTAGGCAGTATTTATCCCAAACTAAACCAGATAATTTGGCTGAGATTCTAGAGTGTCCAGCGAGACATTCCGAAACTCGTGTCACTGGGTAAACAAACAAGCTAATCAGCTTGCGATAAGCTGGATCGTCGGGCCAGCGAAAAATCAGAAAACATAGCCCCACAGCTCAGTGCGATTGGGACTTTTGGCGGCGAGATGCGATCGCCACTGCTGCTGCTCCTCGTTTTTGCGCTGCTGCTAGGCCCCTCGTACGGTGGCTCCGGAAAGGTGATCTACTTCAACCAGCTGAACAGCTCACAGTCCGCGGAGGTGGCCAAAAACACCACCGGCAGTGTGGGCAAGGGCATGCTCTTCGACACGCGGGGAAATCGCTGCCGACATGGCTTCATTCGCGATCATCACGGCCGCTGCAGAAGAGTGAGTGCTCTCTAAGACACTAAAAGACGTAATATATACTTTACTAATTTTAATTTGTTTACCCCCTTAGATTGTCTAAAAATGGCATACACCACTTGGCCAAGTTAATTTTAAATGTGTGTTTATTTTATTTTTATTTATGTGCGTCCAAGGAGATTAAAGTGACAACCTAAACAAACTGTCTACAGATCTTGTAAATAATATAATATACATAGCCAAATGTTAAGCAAAAATTATGTGGCTCTGCTTGGTTACTAGATTTCAGACTTTGGCCTGTACGTTAATTTTTGTATAGAATTTTTTTCTTAAACACTTTTATTATAACACTTTATTTAACACTTTTTAATCGCCAAATCTTACACTAGTTTAGTTTTATAAGCTTTCTATAAAGTTTTACTAAATGAATAAACATTTTAAAATATTTTTATGTGTAAATCAAAATGTTATTTTTTCTTAAAATGCAGTATCAGCTAAGTATAGTAAAAATCAAATATTTATATTTTTAATAACCTTTTCATCCAAGATAACAATTTCTACGCATTCATAATTTCCTATTTCCAAACATGCTGTAAAATTAAATGCAAAATAGTTAGCCACTTGCCATCGGCCCATTTCATGAATATATTCACATCTTTAAGTAAATTTTAATTAATTTGTTGAACGGTTTCGAACAGAAATTTTTGATTTACGTAAAGCAATTACTGTACTGTACTGTACTGTTATTAGTTCCATTCTATTTTCTCAGAAAATTGATAAGAATAAGATCCAGAAAACCCCAGATACATTTGGTGCACATTAACCCTTGCGCCTCGTCATGAAATCGAAACTACGTCACATCACGTGTCGCCGTTCACGAAGAGTATGATGAAATACTGGGCTTTTGGTTTCAGTTTCTGCAGATACCGCAGATACAATATACATTTCATGAGCGACAAGATACAAGATACTAGATACGGAATACAAGAGCCGCCAAAAGAGATAACAATGTGTCGAGGAAAGCTTCTGACTCAGCGCGATATATTTATAATGTCTTCCAAGACCCTTATTCTGTCACATTTTCGGGAATTTTCAGCGCTTGTGTGCGATAAGCAGGGTAAGTGTTCAAGATCTGTGACGTTGTACGCTCCGTAATTGCCATTAAACATTAAACACTCAATGGGCAGTCGCGTGATCAAAGCCAAAGCCCACTCCCCACATATTCCAAAAAGCGCCGATGATTGGCCAAAATTGGCCAGCAAATTTTACACGGAATTTCGAATGGCTCATTGAAAAATATGGTGCCTGCCCTGGATCCATTTGTCAAAGTTCATAACGCTCTATCTGCTATCTGATTATCACTAACTCACAACTCACCCAAAAATACAAAAACTATGGGGAGCACAGGCCAATTAACCCACGTCTTACTCAGCTCTAAAAATATATAGTAGGGTTATCTATTTCAGTTCGGTTTCTTACGTTTTTCGGAGAGTTTGTGATAGGTTTTGCTCTGTGTTAATCTAACTAGTTGAAGCAGGGGCTTTTTATTTAGTTAGATTAGATACTTTAATTGTTTTAATCACTCATCAATATTATAATTCGTACAGTATTCTGTTTTAAAACATTTTATTATAACCATTATAAAAATTCTTGGAGTTTATTGATAAATATTTAGTTTTATAGTTTTAAAGTTTTATATCCTTAAATTATTCTGAAAACTTATTAATAATTCATTTACACATGAAAGTATAAGTTTTTTAAGCTTGCTTCTAAGCAACTTTTGAAATTAGTTGTTTTTTGTTTTCATGAAGCTCATACATTTATCATAGGTATATTATTTTTCAAAAATATTCAAAAATAAATCTGTTAATTTTTTAATTTATAAAGTTTTTCAATATTAAAAATATTAATAATAATAATACATGATTATTTCTCTTAAATTTCTTAAAAATGATTTACTGCAGTATTTTGAAAAGTGAATTTTATAGAATTATAAACAGTTTCAATTTTTCTTGACAAACTAAAACAATATCAAAGTTATTTAAACCTAACCATGTTCATTGTTAACTAAATATAAAGATAAATTAAAATAAAAGTTTTCCTTTGCCTTAGAGGTTTGTTTTTGACCTCTTGATATTGCATCACTACTATAAGTTTGTTTTATTTTTGGTCTACGCAAATATATATTTATATATATATTACATATATTACATTAAATGCAACAAATAAATTATTTGTATCCTGTTGTTTGCGTTATTAGTTTTATTATGAACTTATTTTCCTACGCTTCTTGTGAGTTTAATGTTTTTAAATTTCTAGATAGGGTAGTTTGAGGTAAAATCATATGAACTTCTGAGAAAATCGTCGAAAAATCCCCTGTTCTATCTGCAGCAAAGAACCCTTCCTCCAATTTCCCTATGAATTGGGTGGCCACGTCCTATGCAAATGCAATGGGGCTCAACGATGATGATATTATCGGGTCCGGGTTTTGTATTTTGGGTTCTGGGTGATGAGTGGCTCTGTAGTAGACACCGATACAAATACTGACAACGATACAAAACCCATTCGGTCGGCAACCGAGCGACTTTCCATTGGCATCGGGCGGGAATCGAAATCAGTGTGCTGGCTGGGCCACTCAATTACTACACACAGATTGCAAACGGCAGGGCAAGATAAGATTCAGAAACAGGGTGATGAGTCGCCTTTGGGGGGGAATCCATGGCTCTTTTTGGGGCCCAAGAAAGGCGAGAGCACCCTGTGGCCGGGCTATTTATCAACGCGATGGAGAGTAGTTAAGAAGTGCTACCCCAAACTCGTATAAAATCAGTTAACTGCCGGCACTGGAGCAAGCCACTTGCTTAGCTCAACTTACTTTTTTTTGTCAAATCGCGCCCTTATAATATATAATATATAGAAAAGAGAGTGTGAAGATGTCGATGCACCAGCTGCTGCTTTATTCGTTGTGTTTTTGGGCCGTGATCGTGTTCTGTGCACCCACGCCCAGTGAATCCCGTCGCGTGATCTTCCTGAAACCGAATGGCATCCATCGCGGCCAGATTCTGGCCACACATGGCATGGAGAAGGCATGCCCCCAGTGCCACATGATCGATCATCGCGGCAATTGCCGGCGCATCATTGCCTACAATGCAGGTACTATACCACGTTACCATCACGTATACGCATTACGTATACACCGAGTGGGTCACCTCCACGGCAGTGCTATAACATAACAATTCATATCTGTCTCTTGCAGATGGCGTGCGCTGCTGAATCGAAAGTGATCCATGCTGATCCGAAGTGAAGAATCAACCATCATCATCGAACGAATCTCGGCACTCTCTCAACAAAAAACCCTATTTATTTATGCTATTTATCTGCCTCGCACGCTATACATTCTAATACTAATAATAATAATAATAAACACCAAGCCACCCACTGTTGAATTCGAGTGTACATTTTAATTAGTTTTAAGCTGCATTCCATTGAAGGTCGCGCTGCAATGCGGAATTTTGGTAGTGCAATAATAAAAAAAACATATGAAATCCAAATATTTTGTACTCAATTAATTTATATTTCATGCATTGCGGTTTTAAGTGATTTTATATAAATATATAAATTTATTGTATTTGACATTTTAGCAGTTGATTTAAATACCTTAAATTTAAATAGAAAGCGTTTTTAACTTAAATAAAATGCAATCAAATAATTTCCACATAAATTCAAATATTTTTTTATTAAAATATGATATTTAACCTTCTATTTAATATTATAATTTAATATTTAATTGTAAATATAAAATTTTGAAGTCAATATTAATTTACTTATTTTTACTATTCCATTTACTATTTTTTTCGGTGTTTCTTATCATTTAAATATGTTCTCCGCTGGGGATTTCTATAATAGCGTTTATGATATCAGCTCCTCGAGTGGAATCGGAAATATTTCATTTAACAATTATAATGCCGACTGGACGCAAACGCAATTATCGGGCATTAATCGGTATCACCTGCAACAGGTGGTGGCCTATGACTCTTTTCGCTTTAATTAATATCGCTGTTACCGTATTCTAAGCTTGATTATATCAGGTAGTGAATTTTAATTGTTGTTTTAGATAGGTAGATGTCGTTCATTTGGTTATATTTCTAGCTAATTGGTTTTAAGCCAATGATCCCAGAAAGAAGTCAGACTGTTTTAATTTATACATATATTTAAATAACTTATTAATATAGATAAAAAATAAAAAAATAAATAAAAACTAAATAATTTTTTCTTTTTAATAAAATAAAGCTAAAATAAACAAGTTTATTTCAAACTAAATATTATTATATATTATATACTAAACTATTAATAAATTTACATCAAATGGAGTTACAAAATACTAATTTTTTAACTAACTTAGCAATAAAGTTACACAATATTGAGCCAATAAATAATAAAAGTAAAACCCTTTTAAATATTTAGCAATCTTATTATTATAATTGCCCTCATTTTGTTTTCGCTGTTGATCAACAGCAAAAATAAGTTAGCAATTTTAAGTAGCCTTCATTTTATAAAAACAATATTAAAATGTTTACATCATAAGTTTGAGGATGTTACCATATTTTAGTTAACCTATTCACTTTCAAATCAATTAACATTTTTTCTTAAAATGCAAGTCATGGAATACATGTTTTTTGCTAAACTTTGATAACCAAATTCAGCCCCATCAATTCTCCTAATCCCTCTTTCATTCACTGCGAGTAAGCGAATTTTTTTATGCGTCAGAGCAATAATGGGTGTATCCATATATCGATCACTCGAATGTGCCAAACTGCTCGCAAAGATTGGGAAATATTTATGTATTACATGTCGGCCAATACATATTGGCAAACTTTGTACCTGCCCTGACGTAGCAATTGGCGGAGGGGCTGGAATGAAATTGGCATCTAATCAGATGATTCGGATTCGATTCAGATTCATCAAATCGCTTATCGACATGTCAGCGACGTTGGACTCAATTACTGAATGAAGTTCCGATTTCACAAGCGCTCAAGATGTGCTGGATTAGTGGTGTAAACCTAAAAAATGCATTTATGTCCAAATTTCAGACTTTTTTGTAAGGGGGTACATCATCATTTTTTGCAGAAATTTGACAATCTGAAAACATTTTAACTGTGAATGCCATTCGATTGGAAATTTTATTTCGAATTCAACGGTGTATGACATTCCAACATTTGACCATTGTATCCCAGGGTTTTGACACAAAAACCAAGTTTTTAATGTGTTTTTTGGGATTTTTGGCGATTTTTCAAACAAAATTATTTCTGAAGAGTCTTTTTGTTGTAACTTTTCCAAAATAAGACCCTAAGTCAAAAGAGTTGCTATTTTGAACAACTGGCAACCTATGCCATCCATATGCTGTTCGATTGAAAACAATAAATTTAGTTTTGACAAAAAAACCGAATTTTGAAAAACGTTTTTTGAAGAATTTGTTTATATCCAAATTTCTGACTTTTTTGTAAGGGGGTACATCATCATTAACTGTGAATGTCATTCGATTTTATTACGAATTTTATTACGAATTCAACGGTGTATGACATTCCATCCTTTGACCATTACTTCCCTGAGTTTTGATATAAAAACCGATTTAAAGATATATTTTTCTGGGTTTTTGGAGATATGTAAATCATAAAAATTTCCAAATTTTTTTTTTTGTTGTAACTTGGCCAAAATAAAAGGCATAGCCATAAACGTAGTGTTTTGTAAAGCTGGCAACCTATACTGTCCATCTTCGAAGATTGAGAGACAAATATTTTGTTTTAATTCAAAAATCGAATTTTAAAACGCATTTTTTCAAAAACTGAGTTTATGGCCAATTTTCGCATTTTTTGACTGTGAGTGCTATTCGATTTTATATATTTTGCGAATTATTTGACTCTGAATTCCCTGCTTTCGACAAGTCGAGTTTCTTAATTCTACACCATTCTCGAGTGGGTAACAGTGCATATTTTCGGGCTGACTTGGGCAGGGACTATATAGAAGATATATGACAGCTGGCGACCGGATGGGGCGTCATGAGATAAGTGGGCTGGTCAGTGATCCACCCGGTGACGAGGTGCCCTCTTCTGCTGACTTCTGGCTAAACGGGGCTGTCGCATCGACGCACGACAGTGGAATTCTACTACACTCGTAAATTCCAGCGCGCTTTCGTCATTACGAGGATCGAAAATAGCAGCCAATGGAATCGGAGTACTTTAATGTGGGGGCGATCCAGGGACGACCCACAGACAATGGGCACATTGTACACTGGTACAAAACCGTCGAGAAATATTTAACAAATTTAGCATTTTTTGTGAAAATTATAATTATAATTTACTTTTATAGTTAAATTTTGTTTATAGTCTTAACTAAAACACATATTTTTTATTGTTTATTTCTAATGCAGTTAACCCGCAGATACATTTTTTCATAGGAACTTCCAGAAATTACGCCATTAAAGCCGAGCTCTTAAATTTTTTTTATTTTTTAATTTCACAAAATCGTTAATGAACATGTATCTTTAAAAAAAAAAAGTTTAAATTGAATTTTTCATGTTTTGTATTATAAAAATAACTTAACTTGATTAAAATGCATTTAATTCATATAGGAACCATTTCAAATCTTATATTTATATATATTTTTTTATAATTTAATATTTAATTTAAATATTACATATACAATTTTGGTTTTAATAGTTCGATATATATTTTGACTATTCAATTAAGTTTTTCATTTTATATATTATTAAAAAATTATTAAAAATAACTTAACTTGAATAAAATGCATTTAATTAAAATAGGAACTATTACAAATCTTATATTTATATATATTGTTTTATAATTAAATATTTAATTTAAATATTGTGTATAAAATTAGCATTTTAATAGTTAGTTTTGACTATTCAATTTTTATGTCAGTGCATACATTTTTGTGCAGTACATGGGTAATATCTTATCGCGTGCCAGCGGAATGCCTTTGGGGGCTTATCTTATCGATTTGCGGGCCGGCGGTCGCCGTCTTTGGCTATCGACGTTGAATATCGGCGGGCACAACACCGGAGAGCGGGCGCAGTCATAAAAGCGACTCGCAGCGGATCGAACTTACGCAAAATACAACCAGAACGGAATAGATCCAGTTACAAAAATCAGCGATAAATACCAAGTAAAAATGCAACTCCATCGCCTGCTGATCCTGACCTTTGTCGTGCTCACAATGATCTTGGCCCGCAGTTCGTCGACGACGGAAGCGCGGCGCCTGGTCTTCTACAGTCCACACAGCCGGACACTCACCGGACAGCTCCTCGTGTCCCGGAAACTGACACGGCCTTGTCCGGCGGGAAAAATGAGGGACCATCGGGATCGGTGTCGCCGGGCCGTGATCTTCGGACGCAGCAACTAAAAGTCCGCAATTTGCCGGAACAATCTCCCCGCCTATATTTACTCTTTTTTTTTATTTGTTTTTTCCAAACTAGTCCGTAAGCTAACTTATTTTAGTCGTAGTTGCGTCACAATGTGACCGTCGAAGTATTTATTACATTATTTATTTTGTAGCTGGTAATAATGATAAGTAATATACTGTTGTCGCTAAAGATAAAAAAAGAATTACCCCAATGTTTGCTTAAACCTATTATTACCACCAATGTTTGCTTTGGCCTGAAATAGATATTTATACAAAAAGTAGAATGACATGGTATTTGCAATAAATTGGAATATTTTGTGAGCCAGAGAAACGTAAGTATTCTAGACCTGCCCAAAAATGTAAGACAATCAGATAAATTGTTGATTATGAATTAACAAAACTAAATAATTGTCAAACATGGCTCAAATATGCAATCAAATCCATGCAAGAACATAAAAAATCAATATGAGCGTCAAGTTGCATAAATTAACAAATAAAAAAATATGCAATTAAATCAATTGGAATGCTAAAAAATACTGTTTTTGTTTTGCTTAATCAATGTTAATAAACTGTATGCTAACAAGAACAAATTCGTTTCGTCTAACTAAGTGTGTCAAAGTGCTTCTCTAAATTACCAAAGAATTATTATAACTAAGTAAAAATTATGCAATCAAATTAATTGAAACAACAAGTAAATCAATATTAGCATTAAGCTAAAAAATTAAGAAGTTATTCAACTGTAGGATAACAAAATCAAATTATTATTAACCTAATTAGTGTCTAACTAAACTCTCAAAGTTAAAAGTATTTAAGAGAACATACCAAAGATGACAAGTCATATAAAAAAGAAGTTCCATAGATGACTGGTTTATCATTTCTAAAACAGGGCGTTATTCCAATGATTCACTATGAATTGTAGACCACACATTCATTTAGCTATTTACTTAGTAATGGTATGAAATATTTAAAGATCAGTAGCAAAAGAAAGAAATACCATTTTTTTAAAGGAATATTTTTATATTTTTAGACCCAACCAAACGTTGCATTTGCTTCTGTTTGATTTGTACTAGTTAGATAAGCTGCATTGTACTAAGAATCTAACAAATCTACAAAATCTAGAGAAACAGAATGCGGTTTTTCTCAGAGAAATGAACCTGCATAGCTCACCATCATTTTAAGCCTTTTGGTGTCATGAGTAAACAGTTTAATCTGAAACAGAAATCGAGATTGTGTGGACATGCTTAGCAAATTGCACGCCGGAAATCAGTGACGTCAGTGATGTGACGACCCACAAGCCAGACAAATAAAAAGAGAGGGAAAACCGCAACGGGGAAATACCTTAGGTAGCTGCCTAACCATTTCATACGCACTGTTGCCAATAGGCGTAGTTTGTACTATATAGAACGTCATTGTCTGCAAATTTGTAAGGGAGTCGCAAGGGCATCAATCAAATGTAATAGAATTTTTCTGTACTTCTGCATGATAAAAAGAATCAAATTAGCTATTTTACAATATTACAAAAACCCCATAATGTTTAAGTAACATAAATGAATTAATAAATTTATTAAAGTTGATTTAGCATTTGAGTGCATTTTTGCTATACCATTATTTTGCAGTATATATTTGTTTTTCTTTTTATAAAAGAGAAACAGTTATTTATACTCGATATAATTGTAAAATATTTCAAGATTTATAAGAGAGAATTTATCCCATGCCATTAAAACATTATAAAATAAATAATTTTAGATTTCATTTAAATTCTGAATTAATTTTGTTTTGATTTAGAGGAGCATGTTTTGCTACACTAACTTTGCTGCGCAAAAATAAAGCAAATTTTAATATATTTGCATATATATATATATTCTCTGGGTGAATTAATGTATTTCAATATTGAAAATTTATTGTTTAGATTTCATCTCATATTGGTGTTTATCAAATGGTAATATCATTTAGGGTTCTTTCTCCACAATGCGATTTAAATACAAAAAATTATAATAAATATGAAAAAAATTCGTTTTAATGTCCTCGAATGTCACAATATGGGTGTGTAATCGCTTGCTCAAACGCGGTTGGCCCTGATGGTGTCCTCGATCCAGTCCATGTAGCTGCTGACCCGAGTGTAGACCCCCGAAAAGAGGGCCGTGCCACAGTGATCCCGACCAAAGGAGACCACTCCGGCCAGGTAGACATATCGATTGCCCCTCGGGGTGTTGGCCTCCACGGTGAGTGGTCCACCGGAATCGCCGCTGCACGAATCCACGCCGATTTCACCGCCAGCACACATCTGGTTGTCCGTCAGCTCGATCTTGGACTCCTTGAGGAAGGCCTCCTGGCACTGATCCTGCGGCTGAACATGCAGCATGGCCTTCCTCTTGATCTTGCTGCTGCCACTCGACTCCGTTCTGCCCCAGCCCGAAACATCGGCAGCTGAGCCTACTAGTCGATTGGCCAACTTGCCTCTTTGTGGCGGCAGGCAAACGGGTTCTAAGTATTGCATTTGCAGCCAGTTCACAGGACGCGACAATCGCAGCAAAGCTATGTCATTCACATAGGTCTTATCTGAGTACTGCGCGTGTGGCAGAATGCGATCTATGGTCACGCGAATGTGCGGTGGAGCACATTCCCTCACGCCACTCAGGTTATTCTCGCAGTCCGGATCCGTGTCCTGGTTCCATTCGCCCAACACTGCCGCCGTGAGATTCCTGCCCGGCGTTTGTATACAATGGGCCGCCGTGAGGAGCCATCGCTGCGCTATGAAGGAGGCCCCGCAGGCAAAGTCCTTGCCACCGCCCAGCAGTTCATACTCTAGCAGCGTGGTCCAGGGAAACTCAAAGAGGCCCGTGTTCACGCCACCCACCACGCGGAACGAGAAGGCCGATCCGCAGTACGGATGCTGGGGCAGTTGATCCACGCCCGTGGGTGGGCGTGGCGTGGTCCGGGCCACCAGTCTCAACGGCGTACTGGTGCTGGGCACAATATGGGTGCTGGAGCTGGTGTTCACCCCACCGGCGGTGGTGTCATTCGCGATCCGAGGACCCAGTGGCGGTATGATGTTCGTCTCGCGGGGACAGCAAACCTGGTGGCGAAATTAGGGGAAGTGGGTTGATAAGTTGCTGAAGCTAAATAAAATTAAAATATGTAAGCTAAATCAAAAAGAAAACTGAACAAAAGTATTTAAATATTTGAAACAGAAGAAAATTCATTTAAGACATAAATGTGTTGAATTTAATAAAGTACAACTTATTGATATAAACAACTAAAGGTTAAATATAGAAGTTAAAAGAAAATATTTAAAGAACCAAATCAAAAAAGAAGTCAATAAAAATATTAAACGAACTGAAACAGAAGAAAATTCGTAAGCTAGCTAGAATTTTATGAAAAGAAATCTTTCTCCCATTTCTAACATTGTCTACTTATTGATAAGTGCTTGAAAATAACGTGTAAGTTACTTGAACGTGTAGACAAAGGGTGGCAAAATAATAATTACTAGAAGAGAAGTATGTGTGTTCCATAAACGTGAGGCTAATAAATTATAATTAATCAGTAAGTTGGCAATGTAGTAATTAGCATATGGCAGATGAAGAAGATCCCCACGGAGCGTGAAAACTGGTTGATGGTGGGGAACGTGTTTGCTGGGAAATACTATATATCTGGTACTTTATAGTATATGTTATATACTTACCAGATCTGGTCGCTGGCGGGAGAAACACTGTTGTTTGCTGGCAAAATCCGTGAGTTTATCCACGGCGTAGAAGTCGCAGTCCTTTTTCTCGATACAGGTGCCTCTGCCGAATTCCGCCGAGTTGCAGTTGCCGAAATGCATGATGGCTTCTGGAAAATTAGGGGTTTCTATTTAAGGGAGAACTCTACAGTTTTGATTTGATCTTAAGCCAACTCACTGCCAAATTGCTGGGCCTCAGAGCACAAAAAGGCCAGCAAAAGGGTTGTAAACAAGAGCTGCAATTTTGCCATTTTCCCAGATCAAATGCTATTCAACGCTCTGATTGATTCTCGAGTCGCTGGCGAAGTGTCTCGAGTCCCCGGTGGCTGGCAATCAACTGATCTCTGGCAAACGGCAAACGACGGCCTCGCATCGCGACCCTCGGATTTATGAAAAGAATCTCGGAGACTCGGGGAGCTTGGCTTTTCCAGCTGCATTGATTACACGATCATTCGATCGCTCGATCGCTCGATCGATCGATTCTCAATGATTGCCGTGAAGCGGGAAAACCCGTTGCCTTCCAGTCGCTCTTCCAGTCGCCGCTCAATAAAAATAAAACACTCGCAATTATTCGCCTGCCGTTAAATCCAAAAAAACACACACACAACACAACACATCTCTCCACTTGTTTGCGATTGGAATCGCAAGCAGTTATCAGGCCGCAAAGCTGGGAAACAGAGAGTGATTCGATTCTCTGGGGGAATATTTTAAAAATAAATGCAATTCCATCGATTGATAAGAAGGTTGCATAGAGGGGCTCAATAAAGTATATTTCAAGAACTAAGTCCAAACGAAAACTGAACAAAAGTATTAAACGCACTGAATCAGCAGAAAATTTGGTTAGCTTATACGGTATATAAGTTATATCTAATTATATAGGACATAAATATGTTGACTGAATTACATTACGTTTTATTGATCTAGGTAATATACAAAAAGGGTTAAGTAGAAGATCAAAAAAAAAAAAACTCAACTATATAAGACATACATATGTTGAATTTAATAAACTAGTGTTTATTGACTTAAAATAAAAAAAGGTCTAAATATAGAAGCTCAAAAAAAATATTTCAAGAACTAAATCAAAAAAGAAGTCAACATAAATATTAAACGAACTAAAACAAAATAAAATTCGATTTACTTACACTTAATTATATGTAACTTAATTTCATATAAATAAAAATATATAAAGAACAAAGTCAAACAAAAATTCAACAAAAAGTTTAAAAGTAATAGAACAAAAGAAAAATCGGCTTGCTTCTACAAATGTAAAATACCTATTATGAATAATTAATAAAATTAAAAATACAAATTAAAAAAAAATCCGTGCAATAATAATACTAATACTAATACTAATATTAAACATAAATATCTTAATTGTATAAAAGTACAATTTATTGAAATTAAATTTTCTTTAAACGTATTTCTATTTTGTTTATTACTAGTTTTCTTATAGACCCAAAATAAATAAAAAACGTTATTAAGTTTCAAATGATATTTAGTTTAAACATAATATAAACCTATTATTAAAAAAGCCTTTATGCATATATTGTATTGATTTATTGTGAAAGAGAAAAACAGTTATGCATATGTTTTGTTGATTTATTGTTACCTTCTTTTTTATCAACTAGTATTTCCACTTTTTCCTACTACTATTTTGTATATTATTTGCTTAAGCCATTCATGACTTACTGATAACTCGGCGGGAGTCTCTTACTCTGGTTTTCCCAAGTCACCGCATTTCCCCGGAAGATTTTAGGGAGAAACCCCGATATGGATGCAAAACCCAGTATCGAATCTAGGCAATATCCACTTATTACCTATTTGGATGCGTAACAAAATGGGCAATTAATAATGTGGCTGCGGTTTTGAGTCCCAAGAGATTATTATTTTATGGGAAAAGATTTTTTTGTAGACTTTCGCTTTTGGCTGAGCGGGCATACTCAAGTATCCTGCTAACTGGTTGCCAAAATAAATTCAAAAAAATATATTTTTATATATATGTAATTTATTTCAAGTCTCAAATTTTCCCCTTTAAGGTCCGAAGCGAAATCTACGAAAATGTCACTGCAAAAACCGCACGCAACACAAAGTTGCAACTTTTTGCCCAGTGGGCATGGCAGATGGCGCCTTGGCCTGCGTCTTCCATTAGAATCTCCGTTTTTGTGCTGCCTTTTGCATAAATGCAAAATATTCAAGGCTCAAACTGTGCCAGCCATGAAAATCTGTGTGGGAAAAGAGGGGAAAAGCGGAGGAAAAGCGGTGAAAAAAGGGGAAAAACCGGGGCGATATGTCCGCACGCAGGATACGAATTTTGAAATGCTGCAGCTGCATGGTCAACAGTAACAATAATTTCTAAAATCTATAAGGATTCGTACTCTTGTTGCCCCTTAAATTTTACTTTATATTATTTAGCTTAAATATATTTAATATATTCTCTAACAAATCTTTAATTCTGTAAAAATATATCTTAAGGCACAGAAAAATATGTTAGTTTTTAAAAAATTTTGCAATAGCTTAATATTAAATAGATATACTTTTAATTCATAAATTACTATTTATTCTTGCTAAAATGTTACCAAAAAAAAAACTTTTAAAAATTGTAACAATCATTTTTGTAATGCTTTTCCATTTTTTTATAATTTTAGCTTACAACTTATTTTAATGTTATCCCATTTGAATGTTATTTCCTTCTTATACTCAGGCAGATTAATTTCATATTTATTGGACGGTATTCCATGGGAACCTTCCACTTGATTGGAGTTGCCAATTTCCAGGCCACAACTCGAAACGGAAGTTTTCCTGCCCATCGAGATGCGTTTGCTTGGCTTTTCTTTTCTTTTCATTTATTTTATATTATTTTTATTTTCTTTGCCTTCCTGTGCCCTGTTTTGTAGTACTCGGTCTTTTATTATTATTTTTTCACAGCACGCAAAACTTTGTCCAAAGTTGTGACTTAAAAGTGGGCGGTGGATGGGCGTGGCAGGTTAAGTTGTGAGAGGGGGCTTCAGTGATTTCAGTGGCAGGAAGCCAAACTTGAGGCAGAGCAGAAGTATCTGTTGCAATGTCACCGCCGACTTCAAATGGCCAAAAGCAGCGTGGGCGGGGGGCGGTGGGCGGGGCAACTGGTAAACGATAATGAATAATGTTGCTGGAGATAATGTTGCCGCCTCCGTCAGCAACATGAAACTATTCAAAAGGGCCTAGCGATGGCAGCGTGAGTCACTGAAATAAGAAAATAATTTCAATATCTATACACCAAAATGTATTACAAAAAATATTATATTTCCTAAAACTAAAGCTGAATTGAAGCATATTTGCTTAAGTTTTTGATCTCAGAACCTATGAACATTCCTTCATAAATTTAACATAGACAAATGCCTTTCAATATTGTCAACTAGTGCTAAGTATTTTTTTTTCAACTTTAAAAATCAAATAGGTTTTATTTTTGAAAATCCTTTTGTCGCTCTAAAAACGTTTGGGAAAATACACTGGCTCTCACGCTCTCCAACCTGAAGCCCAAACCACAAACCCCAAGCCCCTAACCCTTCACCCAAAAGGGCCAAAGTTAAAGGGAATACTGATAACATTTCAGTGGAATAATTTCAGCTACAATGACTGTCACTTGGCCAGACACTCTTGCACCCCTTCGCACCCCCTAACACCCCCCTTGAACCCCCTCTGGACTTTGGACTTTGGTCTTTTAGCATTGATTCATGGCCCGGCAGCGTGCTTATGAATAACCATTCAGAAATGTCCCCAACTCAACACCCCAATGCAAAGTTTTTTTAATTGAAAATTCAAGTCGTCATCGTTGGGGGAATGGGTATGGGAATGGGTGGCACACTTTTATCACCGCATAAACAAAAATCGAACAAAATGCGCTCGAAATGCGAGAAATAAATAGAATAAAATAAGAATGCGAATGCGAAAAGTAAATAAATAAAAGTTTCCAATTCACTTGAAATCAACGTGTAATATTTATGCCCGAGTGAACAGAAGTCCGGGGGGAGGGAGGATTAAGGACTGCTGGTTGCCAGGGGAGGGTTAAGGTACGTCTGGGATATACCCGATTAAGTAGAATTCGGTGGCAGCATAAAGAAAACAAGCAGCACAAAGGATCCAGCCGAATGTTTATCGCACGCTAATCACAAATCGCGAATCGGAAATGCGATTATTTTTGCACAGGCAAGCACAGTTATTTGGAAGGGGTTTTGGTGTGTTTGGGGAGGGGGGTGTGCCAGGCAGAAGGTCATACACATGCACAGGTGGAACAGCTGGCGCCTGAACAGTGACACCAAAAAAAAGGGTCCATTTACTGAGAACTGTATTTATGGATTTATATAAAAATATAATTAATTACATTTATTAAACAAAATTTAGGACTATATCATCAAAAGACATCAAAAATTCAACGATCAACTAGGCAATTACTATTTACATATATTTCCTTTAGATATTTATAAAAACTCTAAATATTTTAAACAGCTTTAACAAGAAAGAAAGCAAACTTCGGCAAGCCGAAGTTCATATACCCTTGCAGCTATTGCATGAATTAAATACTTTTGAAAACATTTAAATTATGATTTACTTCAGTATATACTGAAAAACAGTGAAGCTATGATGATTTGCAGCTCAATTATTAGATAGTTATTTTATATATTTTTATTAGTTCTATGGGAGCTATATGATATAGACGTCCGATTTTGATAAAATTTAAACCATAATTCTGAAATAATTAAACATTGCCATATGTCGAAGAACTAAACAAAAAATTAAAAAACAGAAAAGTTATAATTTTTTTTCATTTATTTCTCCGATTGTTCCTATGGGAGCTATATGATATAGTCGTCCGACTTTGATGAAATTTAAACCGTAAATCGAAAATATTTAACCATTACTAAATGTCGAAGAACTAAACAAAACATTAAAAAACAGAAAAGTTATAATTTTTTTCATTTATTTTTCCGATTGTTCCTATGGGAGCTATATGCTATAGTCGTCCGATTTTGATGAAATTTAAACCGTAAATCGGAAATATTTAACCATTACTAAATGTCGAAGAACTAAACAAAAAATTAAAAAACAGCAAAGTTATAATTTTTTTTCCTTTATTTTTCCGATTGTTCCTATGGGAGCTATATGCTATAGTCGTCCGATCCGGCTCGTTCCGACTTATATACTACCTGCAATAGAAAGACAACTTTTGGGAAAGTTTCATGCAGATAGCTTTAAAACTGAGAGACTAGTTTGCATATAAACAGACGGACAGACGGACAGACGGACAGACGGACAGACGGACGGACAGACGGACATGGCTAGATCGACTCGCCTAGTGATGCTGATCAAGAATATATAT